TGTCATGTCCTTCCTCCATCTGCTACTAAAATCTGCTGCCTTCTATAAAAGGTGATTTCTACCAGCCACTTTTCGCTGAATTTTGCAATGACTAAGGAGCAGAGGAAAGAAAAGGTTCAAAAGATTTCCTTTTAAAGCCCAAGCCATTCTGGGGTTGATGTCAGTTCCTCTTCTTAGTTTAATCCTTGAAACAAACATAGGGCAAGTGCTAAAAATGCCCCTTCCACTTCCGTGGCCAAGTGTCTCCTGGGGAAAGAGCAGGGTGAGGATGGGGATTCCCAGCTCAGGAAGAAGGCTTCCCTTTCTGGAGGGGAAATTTGGAAAATGCAACCTCCCGAATCCCTGCCTTTCTGGTGCGTGTGTCTGCTAGGGACACAGCCAGAAGAGGCTGCGGCAGGGGAGGCTCAGGGGGCAAGACAGCGAAGAGGAGCCCTGTGTGTCCACACATGGCTGGGGCTCTGCTGGAGCGGGATGTGGGGGATCCCTCCGGAGCACGGAGGAGGCAGAAGCAGCCTCGAGACAAGAGGACAAGCAGTGATGGCCATAGAGGTAGCGAGGAGCCCGTGCTGGCCCTTCCTGGAGGCCAAGTCCAGAGGTCCGTCCTGCAGCCGTGGGCAAAGCGGGGACTGGCCCCTGGTGATGCAGGGTGATGCAAGGAGAGCAGAGGGTCGGGACCTGCAGGGAGATCCAGTCTGTGCTGAGCTGGGCCATGTCCCTGGGCAAGCTGGTGGCCTTGGGGACAGTGATGGGCAACACACGGGACAGGCAGCTCAGAGCAGGGGTGTCCTCCGTGCCCACCCCCCCGCCTCCCCGCCACTGAAGCTGCTCATTACACAAAGACAGGCCAAGGAGGGGACAGCAGAGGGTCCTAATAACAGCCCTGGATGCCCAATGGCTCGTGTGTCCCAATGCTGGCACCCTGACAGGCCAAACGAGCACCCGGGAGCAGCCTGGGACGAGAGCAAGCGGAGGGGATGCTCCACGGAGCACCCGGCTGCCGCGTGACAGGAGGCAGCGCCGCATGTCGTAACACCCATGGATTTCCCTCCCACCACCTTGTCCAGCCTCCTCCCTAGAAACGCGGTGCCCTCCCATGGCGTGCACAGCGAGGAGCCACATCCTCCTGCCCGGCAGGATGTGACGGTGGTGACGCGGGGCCCGCTGGTGGCACATGGTCACGCGGGCCCAGCCTCGTGGGCCTCCCTGCTGGGCACCGCGGCCATCCCCGTGCCCCGGCCGCTCCGGGGACATCCCGGAGGGCTGTGTGTCTGCCGGGGGCCTCTGCTCTCCATGGGGGCTGCCAAGGTGCTGATGGGGGGCCACACTGTCCCACAGGTGACGGTGCCGTTGCCGAGGCCGCCCTTCCTGGGTGGAAACCGTCCTTCCTCTTTCCAGCGGGTTGGTGGAGTCGCTGATCTGGCCACAGCAAAGATCCTAGGAAAGGAGCTGTGGGAGGTGGTGACCTGCGGGCAGTGATGCCCATCAGCTGATCCCCTGCGCCCGGCGTCCAGCCCCGCGTGGGCAGGTGGCTTCCCCGTCCCACCGCGAAGATGCTCCCCTAGGTCTGCCCGGAGCAGCAGTGCTGGAAACAGGGTCCGTAAGTCTGGAGCTGCTGGTGGGCTCGAGCTCTGAGCACAGCCGGAGTGGGGCTGAGAGGGGCTGTGGGGCAGGGGCTGCTCTCCCGATGTGTTCCCTGCAGGAGCTCGTTTCTCACAGAAACTCTGCATGCTGGAGGCTGCAGGTCCCCTCCTGGCCAGAGCCCCGGCACAGAGCAAGAGTGTCACGAATAGCATATCCGACCTTGATAGCTTGGGTGGAGACAGCTGCCAGGGAGCTCTGCTGAGTCACGTAGGGCACCGTCCCCAGCGCGGGCAGGACCAGGCCCGCGGCTGGCAGGGACATGTGGCCCCATCGCCCACAGGAGCTGGGTCCGGGCAGCAGGGAAGAGACGCGGCCACCAGCCCTCGGTCCCCAGCCCAGGTTATCAAGAAAGGCATAAAACCCACCCGCTCAGAGGCGCAAAGTCGTGGTAAGAGAGCGGGTCGCAAGGTAAGTGCCCAGGAGAGGCAAGAACAGCAAAAAGCCCCCGGCGGGGGCATTGCCATTGGCTGGGGCGGATGGAGAGCGCGGATGCGCGATGCCCGCCGGCTGGAATATGGGCAGGGAGCGCTGCTGAGAGGGAGAAAAAAGGCATCTTGAAGCAGAATTGGAGCAGACTGGGGCTAATGGAGGTGCTGCAAAAGCCCCGGGCGCGCTCCCATACGGGCCGCAGCGCCGGCCTCTCCGAGCAGCTCTAGGTCTGGTCTCCATGGAGAAGGAGGGTGAGAATATAAAGAAATAGGAGTGTGTTCCTAGTTCAGCTTAGCTGCAGAGAAGGTATTTTCCACATGAGTTAGCAGAACCAGGAATTGGGAATTTTTGACCAAGTCTGTTTTCCTTTGAAAGTGCAGATTCAGTGAAATTTGAAAGCTTTCCACTGGAAGGAAAGAATTTTGCTGGATTTCTCAACCAAAAAAAAAAAAAAAAAAAAAAAAAACTCCAGAAAATTTGCAGGCTGTTGTCAGAGTATTTTAACTACAACTGCTGCTTTTCAGAGTACAATGCAAATGCTTATTTGCTTAAAGCTTGGCATTAAAATGCAATGTTGTCTTGATCATTTTATGTGTTTAAATGTCACTGTTTTGCAGCTCTTTTAAGCTCATTTTGAAACAAACTGGAAATTTGGAGACTTTCCAGGGCTGAGGAAGCTGTCTCCAAACCCCCAGCTTGGACCCTATGGGGACAAGGTAGGAATCTCTGCCCTGGGGATCTCCATCCCTGCAGCCAGCACTTAGGATCTGGCAAGCGGCTGCTGCTTGGCAAGGACACGACGTGGCCTGGGCTGGGCAAAGAGCCCCACGAAGCCCTCGGGGGAGCCCGGGGCCAGCAGGGACCCCGGCTCTGCATCCCAAAGGAGGCCTGAGAACTGGACGGGATGGAGGTGCAGCGACGTGCCCTTGGCTTGCAGCAGAACCACGGCCAGCTTTTTTTGTCGAGTAAGCGGGATTTTAGGTTCATTCCCAGCCCTTTGGCTCTCACGTCCTCTAACAGCGCAGGTGTGCGGACACATGTGCTGGGCTGGCTGGGGACTTTCAAGGTGGAACCCAAGTGACAACAAATGCAAGAGGCTTCGTTGCAGACGTGTTTTTGCCTCCTGCGGTGCTCGCAGGGGCCCGGGGGTGCTGCAGGAGCCCCAGTCCATCTGCCGTGACCACCAGCCTGTTTCACATGGGACACTGCAGGAAGGGGCTGGCAGCACTGCCTGGGTGTTCGAGTAACCCTGCTCCCGCCTGCTCGGCCCTGCCAGAGGCCACTGGTCCAAAGGGACATTTCCCAACACCCGCCACCCCTTTGTTGAGGTCACAGGTATTTAGCCAGCTATTAAACCTGCTTCAAAGGCAGATATTGACTCCTGGGAAAGCTGTGAAACACTCTAGTAGCAGTGATGCTCTCTGCTGTGGAGATAATTATCTTCAGTGCAGACAGCCCAGGCCCTGTTCTCTTGTCCTCAATGAGTGGAGGGCAGGGCAGAAAATCCACCCACAAGCACTTCCACCACAAGCCATTTCTTTCACAAAGCAGAGCAGATGGGAGCCACCTCCATTCTCAGCACGGAGAGGTGCCCACAGAGATCACAACATCTGGCTGGCGGCAGCAGCACGGAGCTCAGTGCTGGCTTTGGCACCACAGCTTTTGTTTCATTGTTTCTGCAGATCACGTAGGGTACTGGTGACAGGAGGAGGCCTCAAATACAATAATTTTATTATTAATATTACAGACTCATGGTTGAGGTTGGCAGGGACCTCTGGAGATCATCCAGTCCAACCCCCCTGCTCAAGCAGGGTCACCTCGAGCACCATCCCGGGATGGTGTCCAGATGGCTTTGGAATATCTCCAAGAATGGAGCCTCTCAGGGCAAGCAGCGCTCCGACACCCTCACTGTGAAGAAGCTTTTCCTCATGTTCAGATGGAACGTCCTGGGACTCAGTTTGTGTCCGTTGCCTCTGTCCTATAGCTGGGCACCACCGAGGAGGGTCTGGCCCCATCCTCTTGACACCCTCCCTTCAGATATCACTTATGCATCTTTATAAGATCCCTGGCGTCCTCTCTTTTCCAGGCTCAACAGTCCCATCTCAGCCTTTCCTCCAAGCCCCTTCACCATCTCCACGGCCCTTGTTGCAGCAGCTCCATGTCCCTCTTGTTCCAGGGAGCCCAGCCCTGGACTCAGCCCTCCAGCCATGGCCTCCCCAGGGCTGAGCAGAGGGGCAGATCCCCTCCTCCAGCTGCTGCCAACATTTCCTGGTGCAGCCCAGGAGACCCTACGGGCACATGGTGCCTCACGCTCAGTTTGTCCAACCAGGAGCCCCAGGTCCTTTTCTTCTGCTTTCCACGAGGTCAGCCCCTAGCCCGAACTGGAGCACGGGCTTGTTGCTCCCTAGGTGCAGGACCCTGCACTTCCCTCTCTTCGACTTCATGAAGTTCCTCTCTGCCCATCTCTGCAGCCTGTCCGGGTGCCTCTGAAGGGCAGTACCTGCTCCATCACCTCCCCAGGGCTGGAGGTGGTGCTGACTGCTCTGTAGTTTCCTGGCTCCTCCTTCTTGCCCTTTTTGAACACTGCAGTGACATTGGCTTTCTTCCAGTCCTGACGCACCTCTCCTGTTCTCCATATGCTTTCAAAGCCAAATGGCCTAGCAATGACATCCACCCGCTCGCTCAGCACTCATGGACCCATCCCATCAGGGCCATGGACTTGTGGGTATCAAGTGTGCCTAAAAGATCTCAAATGGATCACAGCAAAGCCCTCCTTTCTGCAGACATTCTCCCTGGTCTCCCTCTCTCCTTCCTTTCGTTCCTCAGGTGATTACAGAAGCCCTTCTTGCTGTCCGTGATACCCCTTGCCAAACGATTAGCAATAGCCGGAGCTCTGAGCAAGGGCTGCCGCTGCTCTCCCCAGCACCGGGCTACACTTTGGTGACGCTGTCTGCCGGCCTCGCCGCGGCCTTTCCTGGAGGGCACGGCACGACATCCACCCTATTGCTCCTGCAGCCCAGACACCCGGGCAATTTCGGGCCTTTTTTCAGAAGGCAGCAGGCCCCATAGCTGAGGAACAGAAGGCTGATGACTACCACCAGCACGGGCAGCGAGCTGTTTCCTTTGGGATGCGGGCAAAGCCACCGAGGGCTGCTGGTTATCTCGACCAAGAGGTTCTTGGCCTTATCTTGGTAGGAGCAGAGCGTTTCGCTGAGGTCCCGCACGCTCACCCCGGCCGCCTGCAGCGCGTCCAGCCAGGCCAGCCCACAGCAGTCAAAGGGGTTTCCAGCCACGGACACGAGCTGGAGGCTGCGGGACCAGCTCGCAAGGGCCGGCTTTTCAAGGGCCACCAGGTTGTTACTGCGAATGTCCAGGCTTTCCAGCGGGGAACAGAAAAGGCCTGTGGGAAGAAGGCTCAAATTATTGCTGGATAGGTCCAAAACTTTCAGCGTGTCCAGGCAGGGGAATTGTGCCTGGCTGTCGTGCATTTGGTTTCCTCTCAGAGAGAGTTTTTGCAAGGAAAATTCCAGCCCCTCCAGAGCTTCTTTGGGCATGAACAAATCCTTGTTCTCAGACAGATCTAATGAGACCAGGGGGGTTTGGTTGAATGTGTAGGGATACAGCCTTGCAATGTTATTCTTATGAAGACTCAGGTGCTTCAAGCCAGGTATGTTATAAAATGCAGTGCAGGTACCTCCTGGGGCCGGTGCATGAGCGTCTCCTCCTGAAATCTCCCCTTTACTTGTTTCCCGGCTCCCACAAGGTTGGAGGCTGTTGGAACCAAGATCCATTGATTCCAAATGAGGCAGAAAGTCAAAAAACCAATGTGGCAGGGAGTGCATGAAATTGCCGCGGAGATCCAGTGCGCGCACGGACAGAAACACAAGCTCCTGAGACCACAGTGAGCTGCCACTTTCTGTGTCACCTGTGAGTGACTCCTTGGTCACATCCTGGAGACAATTCATGGACACATTGAGACTGTGCAGGGAGGTCAGACGGTGGAAGAAAGCAAATGGAAACTGATGCAGGTGGTTATTGCTGAGATCCAAGTCAGCTACATTGGTCAGATGAGCCATGGAACTCCAAGACCTGTTGTTATCATGCCTCGCCACCCCAGCATAGGGCAGCACAAACTCTGCTGGGTGGTGGGAACTCGGGAGCAGCGAAGCGATAGCGTTGTTGGAGAGGTTTAAGTGTGTGAGGGAGTGAGCGTGGGGGAGCTCCGGGAAAAAGAGGAGGTGGTTGTGGCTCAGGTCAAGTACCTGGAGCAGGTAGTGCTGCTCGTCCTCCTGCTCCACGTCGAACAGCTCCAGGGCATTGTGGCTCAGGTTTAGCACGCGCAGCTGCGTCAGGGTGAAGCTGGAGATGCAGTGGAGGGAATTCAAAGCTAAGTTCAGCACCCGCAGGTCCCGCAGCGCCTCAAAGGCTCCCTCCTCAATCACCATGATGTAGTTGTTGCTGAGGTTGAGCTCGCCCAGCTCGGGCGCGCTCCGGAAAATGCCGGCTGGCAGCCTGGTCATCCTGTTCCCGGACAGATCCAGCCTCCGCAGCGTGGTGAGGTTGCTCAGGTACCAGCCTGCCATGTGACTCTCCAAATTATTTGCCGACAGGTCCAGGACCTCTATGTTCCTGAGCCATCTAAAGGCTCTCCCATTAGCGACATAATTGCGATCGAGGCGGTTGGATCCCAGGAGGAGGGAGCGCAGACGGGGCAGCCGAGCCAGGGCCCTTTCGGACACGGCCTCCAGCTGGTTGAAGCAGACATCCAGGTGCTCAAGCTGCCCAGACCAGGGCACGCGGCTCTCCGACAGGTTCTGGATGAAGTTGTTGGAGAGCTCAAGGTGCTGAACTCCTTGGCCGAGCTCCTTGGGAAACTCGTGCAGGCCAGCACCTTTGCAGGACACCCTCGTGGGGCTCTGCGGAGAAACGGGAAAAGCCGTGAGTGAGAGTGGAGGGATAAGCCGGAATTCCAGCCAAGCCGCTGCTGTGCAGGAGGTGCGTGAGAAAGGTGAAGCTATAGAAATGAGCACTGCTCCCCGGACAGGACAGGACAGTCTGTCTAAACCCAGTCCCGAGAGGACAAGCAGCCTGTCCGCAGGACTAAGGTGAGTTCTCCAAGACTCTGCTTTAGTGGTAAAGGTGAAAGTGGCTCCTCTGGTTTATGTTTTGTGGAAGATGCAGTCACCAGTGTGCGCTGCTCTGCGACACAGCGTTGCTGGAGGTAGCCGCGTGGCTCCTGTGCCTCTGCCACAGCCAGGGACAAGCAGGGAACAGCCGACTGATCCGGCCTGGACACAGGGACCGTCTCAGCGACTGCACTCCCCAGGCTGTGGACAGGTACAAGCTCAAGCAGGATGAGGAAAGCAAGGGAAGGCTAAAGAGATGGAGGCTGAAATGCCATTAGAGCCGTGAAGGAAGAGTTTCACCCTGTCACTGCAAACTTGCGTCCTCTCTGCACTGCACTGAGGGGGTGTTCGCAGACCCAGCAGGGACTCTGTGGCTACAAAATCCCAAAGGATCCTTGGAAATGGTCCTTACCTGCTGGCATGGTAGAGGCTTGGGCCTCACTTCCCCACTAGACTGGGCTTTGAGAACAGCCAGGAGCAGCCAGAGCAGCAACCAGCCTCGCTCGGGGAGCCGGTGTCCGAAGTGGAGCATGTCGGGCCCCGGGCCCCGTCCCGGGCGCTCTCGCAGCCTCGGCGGGAGAAGGGCTCCCTATAAATAGTCCTGGCCATGGGACGGGGGAAGGAGATAGCGCGTGTGGGTGTTCGCAGCTAAGGAAGTGGGAGAAGAGAGACGCGAGCCTATGGAGGGGAAAAACAGTGCACGAAGC